TGCACTCTTCTACAGCCTCATGGCTGCATTACTTGAAGAATGTTGGTGTGTCTGGGCCGATGTCATTATTCACAAGACTTTGCAGCTGTTGGTGTGCAATACTGGCACTTGTAATGGATGGGAGACCTTGTGGTATGACAGGGGGGGACATATGTGTGACGGACCCCCGTACTCAGGATGAGTATGTTCGCCGCTGTCTTCTTCCTTGCTGAGGAGATATTGGAACCTGAAGATCTGTAGCTCCCAGTTTCCCCAGTCACTAGCCAAGGCTTGAGTGTAGGGTAAACAAACTCTGATTTATTGAGCAACTGCACAAACTTATATACAGCAAGTGATGAAATCAGAATATAATCCCATCACATCCACCTCCCCTCCTCCCAGACCATCGGTCTGCTCAACACCACAGGTGTCCACCTGCTAACGAACTCCAGACAGCCATAGCAGGAGCCTGGCCAGAATGTCATTGTTCTGAGCTCCCTCAGAGAACAATGGGAGATAACGAGGGATGGTGCTGATACTCTTTCCATAACCAGGTCACACAGCATAACGCACTCAAACATAACCCAACACCAATACACATTTAACTTATAAACTGATCACCATGTCGTCACAATATGGTCATAGGGGTTTGCTGGTGGACTGCCAGCGGGTCATTTAAGAAAAATCGTCCCATTTAAGAAAAATCGTCCCAGACAGTTTATAGCCATAAGATTTTGGTTGATTCTAGAGCGGTTGGTGTGCGTCACTCCCATTAGAAGAGTCTTGAGGTCACTCTTAGCGTACCCCGGTAGTAGGGTCTGCTACAGAAGACCTCCTTCGGTGTTGTGTGGTCAGGTGTCCCCCCGAGGCGGTTTCCGAATTACAATAATCTGCATGGGTAGTGTTCGTTGCATTCGTGTTTGTTGGTCTTTATACTGGGAGGGTGCAATATTCTCTTCCCCATTATACCATGTTGCTCCATGCAGCTCCTCATCCGTCTAGTTCCCAGAGACCATTTCCATCCAGATGGGACGGGTCTTGTTCTTCACATTGTCCTATGCTGGAGCTGTGTGTGTGATGACACGTTCTCTCGCGAGGCTGCCAGCGCCTTGCGCCCTCCAACTATTTTCACAGCACAAAGCTTATCCTGGCTTGGTGCCACTATAGCTTAGCACATCTGTCTGTGTTCTTCTGTAATCTCCATCCAGCTTTGCAACATTTACCTTAGACCGCGGGGTAAGCAACCTCGGCACTCCCCAACTGTTGTGGCACTACAACTCCCATGAGGCATTGCAAGACTGACAGCCACCAGCACGATGGGATTTGTACTTCCAGCACTATTGGATAGCCGAGGTTGCCTCCCCTGCCTTCAGACTGAACCGAGTGTGTTCTGTTTAATAATGCTGTTTTGGTCTTTTCCCCCCTTTTTAGATGCCCTCAGCCACAAGCAGCAAGGCTGTGCCGGGCTTCGGCGAGGTACCAACTGGTACCGGGAATGTACAGAGTGAGGCCATGAAACAGATCCTAGGGGTCATTGATAAGAAGCTGCGGAACCTTGAAAAGAAAAAGGTTTGTACTTGAGTTTTGGAAATTAAGACGCGATAAACATTTCGAGATGTGCCGACTGTTACAATGAAACCAATACACTTGTATTGCAGGGAAAGTGTAACATTCAAAATGTGATTGTGAAGGTTTTATCCAACGGTGTACAATATGTTGTCACTCAGAGACCACCAATGTGTGTTGTCACTTAACCACCATCGTCTGATCCGGCACCACTTTCACTGGACGTTTCCGGGTCTGTTATCATGCCGGCAGCCAAGTAACATGATCCCGTCATGAGGCTGTAAAACGTATGGGCTGTTCATGGCTCTGCATTTCCTCATTGAAGTGACACTGTGTGTACATGTTTGCTCGGTAAACCTGTCGGGTAGCACACTTGTCACAGCCCCTCACTCCCCCCCTCCCCCCCCCTCCTAACTCTCCTCGGGTTATAGCTCTGCTTTAGATATTCACCATCACCCTGCAGTTTGTTTTGGCAGATGAAGCATGCTTGTTACTGCTGGTGTTGTAATATCTAGTCTTTATCTATCCTGGATACAACTTTTAGGGCAGCACAGCGGTGTAGTGGTTAGCGCTTCTGCCGTGCAGCACTGGGGGGTCCCCGGTTCCAATCCCGGCCAGGTCACTTTCTGCAAGGAGTTTCATGTTCTCCCTGCAATAGCAGTTATTTGCCTGAAGAAGGGACTATCTGGTCCCAAAACGTCGCTTTGTGTGTGTGGCATCATGCTCAGCCAATAAACGAGATTGACTGCTATCTACAAACGGAGTGCGGGTGGCTTTATGGCATTTTGCACTCCCTGTAATAGTGACATGGGTTTCCTCCGGGTACTCCAGTTTCCTCTCACACTCCAAAGACGTGCTGGTAGGTTAATTGGCTCCTGTCTAAGTTGGCCCTCTATGTATGCATGTGAGATAGGGACCTTAGATTGTAAGCTCCTTGAGGGCAGGGACTGATGTGCAACTATGTAAAGCGCTGCGTAAATTGTCGGCGCTCTATAAATACCTGTAATGAATAAATCTTAAAGTGACACTAAACTCTGGAGTCAAATCATAAAAAATACATTCAAATACCTCAACTATTAACAACAATGAGGGGAATTTATCAAAACTGTAGCAGACAGAATCTGGAGCAGTTGCCCAGGGCAACCAATCAGCATCTCGGGTTAAGTCTGTTCAGTTAAGATTTGAAAATGAAAGAGGGAAGGTGATTGGTTGCCATTCACAGCTGCTCCAGAATGTGTCTGTTCCAGCTTTCATAAATTCCTCTCAATGGATCTTATTTGTGTATCACTCGGCTGTAGATCCTCAAATCATATCTGAATTGGTGCCGACACTGTCCTTCCTTCTGGGGGGGG